GCTGGCAGCAGCAGCAGTGCAGTGGAGGCTGGCGCGTGGGCAGGAGGGTTCGTGACAGCAGCCAGTCTGACAGCTCTGCAGCCTCTCCCTCTGCTCTCCGATCCGGTTCTGCACAGGCCGGGGCCGCGCTGGCAGCAGACCAGCGCTCAACAGACCCGACTGGAGGAACCGGAGGAGCCGATTCTCTGGGGAGAGGAAAGCAGGTCAGCATACCTCCGGCGTGCTCCAGTCGGGCCTGGGCTGGGGGCGGAGCTCTCGCTGTCACCCACAGCCCTTCCAGCATGAGGCCCGGGGAACCACAGGGGAGGGTCCGGTCACTCCAGAGGGGTGGAGGGGTATCTGGTCACTCCAGCAGGGTGTCTGGTCACTCCAGTGGGGTGGAGGGGCGAGCGTCCAGTCACTCCAGTGGGGTGGAGGGGCGAGTGTCCAGTCACTCCAGTGGGGTGGAGGGGTGTCTGGTCACTCCAGCTAATTGGAAGGGTGAGTGTCCAGTCACTCCAGCTAATTGGAAGGGTGAGTGTCCAGTCACTCCAGTGGGGTGAAGGGGTGAGTGTCCAGTCACTCCAGTGGGGTGAAGGGGTGAGTGTCCAGTCACTCCAGTGGGATGGAGGAGTGAGTTGTAGATGCTAGAATCACAGCTGCTGCAGAGCTGCTCCAGGGAGTATCTATTGTTCCTTGTGGGCGTGCAGAGTCTGGTCTGATCGGACCTGTTCATCTCGTTCCCTGTGCAACATTTATTTACTTTCTGAATTAATTGCTCAGCTCTGATTGTTTTTTTGAAGTGACTCAAACGGGGCTTTGATCTGACTGGTCTGTGAGCCTTGGAGTTACTGTCGCTGTACTGGACTGACCACACTGTCACTGCACTGTGACTGACCACACTGTCACTGCACTGGACTACACTGTGACTGACCACACTGTCACTGCACTGGACTGCACTGTGACTGACCACACTGTCACTGCACTGGACTACACTGTGACTGACCACACTGTCACTGCACTGGGCTACACTGTGACTGACCACACGGTCACTGCACTGGGCTGCACTGTGACTGACCACACTGTCACTGTGGACAGACTGAGACACACACACTCCAAATCCAGCACCGTGCACATACTCTGCCACACTCTCGTGATTATGATCAGGCCAGGCTGTTACAGGGGAGATGAGAGTCACTGTTAATGTTGCCTCTCTCTCAGTCTTGTGCTCTTTCTCTCCCTCACCAGAGGAATGGAGGAGGGGGCTGGGTCGTTCAGTGGCCCATGATGACTTAATCATCTGATGAAAGTTAATTAACTCACTGGGGTGCGTGTGCATGTGAGGGATAGAGGCTCTCTCAGTCAGAGAGAGGCACACACTTTCTCTCCCTCACTCTGCAGCACTGCATTTACAGCTTGTAAGGAGGAGAGAGCAGAGGACTGAGGGAGAGAAGGTTGAGGAAGAGGAGAAGATTGAGGGAGAGAAGGAGAGAGGAGAGGA